GTGAGAATCAAGGAAGGGGATGAATGGAAAACTGCATTTAACTGCCCCATGGGGTGCTACCAATTCAAAGTCTTGCCATTTGGATTACAAGGGCCCCCCGCAGTATTTATGCAATTAATCAATGACGTTCTAAGGGAGCACCTATTTAAGGGGGTCCTTGTTTACTTAGACGACATTCTTATCTTCACTGAATCAAAAGAGGAACATGTCAACCTAGTCAGAGTGGTTTTAAAGAAACTGCGAGCCGCCCACCTATATGCCAAACTCTCGAAATGCGAATTCCACCAGGAAAAGATAGACTACCTAGGTTATCGCATATCCCCACAAGGCATTGAAATGGACCCAGAGAAGGTCAGGGCAGTATTAGACTGGGCACCACACCACACAAGAAACCAACTACAAAGTTTCCTGGGCTTTGCAAACTTTTACCGTCAATTCATCCCCTCATTTGCTCAGATAGCCCTGCCCCTCACTAACTTACTAAAAACAAAGGGAGCATCCTCAGTAAAACCTAACCAGTCACTAACATGGACAATGGAGTGCCAAACAGCGTTTGAGAGATTAAAGAGACTTTTTTCTGCCAAACCAGTACTGAGGCACCCAGACATGGATAGGCCCTTCGTAATACAAGCGGATGCAAGCGATGTGGCAGTGGGGGCTGCCAAACTGGAATTGAATTCCGGAAAAGTTTGGAAACAGATGAATGGTTCCTGAAAAACAAACATGTGTGCACAATGAGAGACGGATTGCCTTGGGTAGGGGAAAAGTTATATATACCAACAACCCAGATGCAAAGTGGGGTGGGACCTTACACCCCCATAAAAATTAAATCGCCGCTTCTGTCTATGGAAGGATAGAGTTATAGTCCCCTTCTTTCTCACTTTCAGAGGATTTTTTGCTTCTTGGGGATCTTTTCCAGGAAATCAGCAGTTTCAAAATAGAGTAGAGAAGATCAATATTCTCACCCAGCTCCAACACGCTGTTCACATTTGTTCTTAGTTGGTGCTTTTGGACTTTGGATGCCAGTAGGCTAGTCACTGGAGTGCAGCTAGCCTTTCTCCGATTGGATTGGAGGGCTTCCCCCAGATCAAACAGATCGACCAAATGCACAGGTATAGTATAGGGGGTACCTTGCTCAATAGTAGTAACTGTGAGAGGGACCTCGGAGTCCTAGTGGACAATCACCTAAATATGAGCCAGCAGTGTGCTGCAGCTGCCAAAAAGGCCAACACAGTGCTAGGCTGCATTAACAGAGAGTAGAATCAAGATCACGTGAAGTGTTAATACCACTCTACAATGCCTTGGTAAGGCCACACTTGGAATACTGCATCCAGTTTTGGTCACCGCGCTGTAAAAAAGATGTTGACACTCTAGAAAGAGTACAGAGAAGAGCAACAAAAGATGATTAGGGGACTGGAGGGTAAAGCATGAGGAACGGTTGCTGGAACTGGGTATGTCTAGTTTAACAAAGAGAAGGATGAGGGGAGACATGATAGCAGTGTTCCAATATCTCAGGGGCTGCCGCAAAGAAGAGGGAGTCAAGCTATTTTCCAAAGCGCCTGAAGGCAGGACAAGAAGCAACGGGTGGAAACTAACCAAGGAGAGAAGCAACCTAAAACTAAAGAGAAACTTCCTGACAGTTAGAACAATTAACCAGTGGAAAAACCTGCCTCCAGAAGCGGTGAATGCTCCAACACTGGAAGTTTTTAAGAAGAGACTGGACAGCCATTTGTCCGAAATGGTATAGGGTTTCCTGCCTGAGCAGGGGGTTGGACTAGATGACCTCCAAGGTCCCTTCCAACTTTACTATTATTATTATTATTAACCTTGCTTAGGAATGGAAATTCTTGTTCTAATTGCAGTCATAAGTTGAGACCACCGTCTTTCCGTGATTGACGGAGGGCTTCTCCTTCTTTGTCATCTCTCCGGAGAGACTTTAGACCCATTTAGGGTCCCCAGGCAGGGCAAAACCAGCCATGGGGTGCGGAGCTCCACAATCCCTTGGCCGTTTCGCTATAATACAAAACTGGAAGTCTCCATAAAGTACACAATTTTTATTCCAATTTACAGCAAAAGCTAAGTAGATGGCCAGTGATAAATATGAACATGTGTAAGATTGAGCTAGTCTTTCTCTGTCAATAATTGTAGTTTGTACATTGAAAATCTGGGTGGCTATTCCTACCAAGGGAAAATATGGAATAATTTACAAACTTACTTAAAATACCACAATAGAATAAATTTTTTTTAGAAGACATCTATATTATCAACCTCACTTTTATCTTCTTCATAAAGTTAAATTGAAGAAAACCCACCAAAAAAGGTGCTAGAAAATGTTATGGCAAGGTTAACATTAAGGCTTGTGCAAATCCTTTGCAAGATATGCTCTGCTATACATGGGAACAAAGCAACTGTCTTCAAATCACTGACACAACTACATCTTTTTCTAGGTTAATGAAGCTGCTTCAAAGCCTCCTCTCAGTAGTCTCTGCATGTATGTTTGTGAAAAGCCATTTTGTTTGGCTCCCAGCAGAATGAGAAAATTAATATTTTTATCAATCAAATAGAACTCCATGATGAGTAGGAATCTTCCCCAATTCCACAGTGTCTACTGCTATTTTTTCAAACAAGAGTGAAGAAAGCAAGGTAGGTCATACGATGATTGTAAAACTATTGCATTCTACTAAAAAAGGAGTATATACAGTACTGTGCCACGTCAAAATATTACAGCTATTTTATTTATTTATTTATTAAATGTATATGCTGCCCATCTCACTGTTTCAAAGGAGAGATGGGCAGATGCTGCTGAAAAATAGTTTCATTGGTTTTCCTATGCATTGCAGAGAGCTGGATCCTTATGTTACTTTCCAACTTCCCAATTCTATGATTCTATGAAACAAATAGAGGCAGTAAACCAGAAGAAGGCAGTATGTTTTATACAGATTTCAAAGTTTTCTGTACATCTAATTTGTGCTCCAAATTCTGTGAAGAAGTTAGGATAAAAAAATTATTATATGCTTTTGGGCATTTCAAATTTGATCTTAACTATAAGAATGAAATTAGAGTGACAGCACACAAAATTTTAATCTTTTGGAAAGGTACATACATGGTTTTACTAACTCTGAAATACACATCACAGATGTGATTGCCACAAGGAGTAACTTCTTCAGCAAAAAGAAATGGCTGAATGTTTACAACCCTATAATCCCTATTTGGGGTAGAGTCTGGGTGACTGGATGGAGCTGAGCATTAATGGTTCAAAATATAACTGCATGAAGTTCAACGTATACACTAGAGAAATTCAACTATGTTTTTGATCTTCAGAAAATCAAAGCCAAATACCTAGAAAACATATTGACTATAAGAAAAACTGCATAGGAGGTGGACTTCTTTCTTGAATGTGACACTAATTGTGACTAATTCAAAATTCACAGTTGTCTGTACTTTGGATAGGGGCATCATTAATGCTTACAGTCTGGGTTCTGCCCAGGACTCAGAAGAACCTACCAAGTAATTGAAGAGGATATGGGATGTCTGAGCAGGAAAGTCTCCGATGTTCAACAAAAGTTTCCTCAGCATATACATCAATTCATCCTGCAGTTAGAGCAGAAATTTTCAATCTTGTTATAGCATAGCAGTCAATTTCACTACTTGCACAGGGATCAATTATTATACTCTAAGGTAACATACAATTAAAATCCTTACAAGTTGCAGTATTATGAATGCTTTCCCATAAATAACATGGGAGAGTTTTTTCTTACAGGAGAGCTGTAAAACTTAATCAGAACATCTGAACAGAACCCTAGTCTGATAAAAGTCTAGTCTTATCTTCAAATGTTTGAACTCCTTATGTTTTTTGATTGTATTAGATGCTAACTACTTTATCTCTAACTTGAATGAACCTTGAGCACCTTTCTCTAGTATTGGCAGGAGACTGCAGATTGTTGCCTTCATTTTAAATTGAATGCACTGAATTCTAATACCAGTCTCTCCATTGTATCTTGTTAGCCTTAAACATGATTTATTAAAATAAGTCATAAATTTAAAGCTGGGTTATTTCAATAAAACTTAGTAAAGATTCACTGCTATTTATTTGGATTCAGTTAAGTTAATCTGAAGTGAATTTCAGACAGATATTTTCCTCATCTTTTCCTTGCAACTATGCTGAGGAAGGAAGCAGAAGGAAAGGAGAGAGCACACATCTGAGATCTATTTATGCCTCAATAAATTACACTTTATCATTCGTTCCAACTAGGACAGGAACACATTGGGGAGGGGGGATTCAGCCAAAGGCCAGATTTCATTTTTGCTCCACCTGTTAGAAGCCATGCTTCAATACGGACAGGGCCAGGATAAAATTTGATTTGAATGCAATTTATTTAGTATAGGATTACTTTTCGCCTTTTTAATATTTTCCCCATTTGTTACATTAAACATTACAACTGGGTAACAACCTCTGAGAGGTCTCTAGGACTTTTGTAAAGATATACACACACAAATACCGGGGGTGTTTGCATTGCGGGTGTCACATAGTTCCATCCTCTCCCAACTACCACTTTATCAACTATAATATCCAACTTTATATTGCCACTGTGTTGTGAGAGAGATGTTGTCAATGTCCTGTCTTGGTGTCCAGGAATTGGGTATGACCATTCTAGAGAAAAGAAGGATTAGGGGTGATATGATAGCAGTATTCCAGTATTTGAGGGGCTGCCACAAAGAAGAAGGGGGTCAACTTATTTTCCAAAGCACCAGAAGGCAAGACTAGAAACAATGGATGGAAACTAATCAAGGAGAGAAGCAACCTGGAATTAAGGAGAAACTTCCTAACAGTGAAGACAATTAACCAGTGGAACAGCTTGCTCTCAGAAGTTGTGGGTGCTTCATCACTGGCAGTTTTTAAGAAAAAACTGGATAGCCATCTATCTGAAATGGTATAGGGTTTCCTGCTTGAGCACTAGGTTGGACTAGAAGACCTCCAAAGTCCCTTCCAGCTCTCCTCTGATTGATTGTCTAGAGGCTGTGAGGATCTGGATGGAAAAGAACAGACTGAAACTGTTTTCTTCCATCCAAATAAGATGAAGTTGCTGTATGTACATCAGGGTTTTCTGTCAACACCAGCATTATCTCTGTATGGGCATTCACTAAGGAGCAGATGAAGGAGCTGATTAATAATTCAGGAATCCTTCTGGACTCCTGCTTAAACAAAAGGTGGAAGTTTTGCTCAGCTTTGGCTGGTGCACCAATTAAAATCCTATATGGTTCAGAAGGACTCATCTTCATTACTACCCAGATGGACTACTGCAGTATGCAGTACTTTGAATGAACTACCCTCAATTTCTGAACTACTCAGAAATTGCCAATTGAGCGAAACACAGTGGCAAATGTACTCACTGGCTTTTGGTACTGCAAGCATACAATATAATACTGATTCTTCAACTCTGCATTGGTTACGATTTGGTTTCTGAGTGCAATTTAAAATTCTGGTGTTGTCTATTTATGGCCTGGCATCTTGGTATCTTCAAGAGTGCCTGCTCCTGCTATAATAAATCTAACCCATTAGTTCCTTTAGGAAGAAACTATTTTGGTCCCACACTTCTGAGAGGTGAGGGAGGGCAAAGTAGAAGAAACTGTTTTGAAATAGCCTCCCTGTGGATATTAGACTGAGCCATTCTTGTTGACCTTTAGGGAGATGTTGGAAAAAAAGGAACTATTTTTTCTAATCTAAAAAGTATGCCATCTTTTACTTATTTTCATGTTTTCATTTGTTACTGTTGCTTTTATTTTTTGTTTTATGTTATCTTTGAGATATATCATGGATGTTTTATTGTTATATTTACATACTACAGAAACAACTGATAGTCATTAGATTGTGACTGGGGTATATGTCAAACAAACAAACAAACAAACAAACAAACAGTATCCTGGGACCACAAGCTACTCTCCCCTGGAAGAGAGTTTTGACTGAGTTCTTATACATATGTTTATGGAAAGTAGAACCTCTACCTGCCGATTACTGATAGTGAGTTTCTCCAGGAAATGTCGAAGAACAGTGGATGGATCTTCAATGAGACAGTTCCACAAGACTTGTTGAGCCACTGCGCTCACTATATGAGACAAAAGGATTGAAAAGACTTTTCATCTGTTCTTGCCAAACCCTATACCATATATACTGTTGGCCTGAATTTGACACAACATCATTTGGTAATGCCAGCTGTATCCAATTTGGTCCTCAACTCCTATTAAAGTTAGTAGTAGTATTTGATATAGAAAGAAACTGTTTACAGTGGACACTTAATCAAATACAAGCATGCCATTTTATGGCTTAGAACAGGGTATGATCTTAGTGTATTTTTCTCAATAGAAATGGGAAGAGAGAACTGAGTTATAATGGAAAGCATAACTGTTCATAAATTCACATTTGCTTATTGTGGAGGATATTTTTGTCTGCCCTTTGTCTAAAAGAGGGAAAGGACACAAATGTCTTCAAGGAATACATCACTGGAACACAGAGCAAGACAGCACAGCCCTTCTGTCCTTTAAGATAAAATATCTATGGATTCCCCTTCACCAAAAGATGCTAATGAGATACTGAATTCAGATCTTTTGCTTCTGCCAGCTCTTCCATTGCAGCCACCTTCTGATCCTGAATTTTATTCAAGTGACAGTAAAGACTCAGCTGGAATCTCTGATCAAAACCCAATGTGAAATTCCACATTCATGGAAAAACTGCTTCAGAAGAAAAAAAGAGATTACCCTGAATAAACCAGTATCTGCAATTGTTGATAGAATTCAATGCTTTCCACTATCACGTCCAACACTTACTCCAATCAAGCCATTCCATACTTCAGTGTCAAATTCTATCAGAATCCATATCTGGAAAAGGGGTAAACTATGTAGAGTTTTACAGTTAAAGGTAAAGCTTATGTAGAATATTGAAGTAGATCAAAAACACACTAAAGATTGTTGGAGAATATTAAATGATTTCAATTTTTACTAGACTATCAGGCAATGTAAATGCAAATAAAAATTTGAATAGAACTTTAGACTGAAGAGAGACAAATTTTTCTTAACAATTTTATCAGTCATATGAATTCTCTCACATACACTATATTATACTGACTGTGTATGCTTCTATGCATACACATTGTCTATGTACATAAGGACTGTGCAGCATGTGTAGAATAATTTGGGAAAGATATTTCATTCTGTGCAGTCATGTGAATGTTGCATCTCCCCTGCTATGTGATCCCAAGAAAAGACACAGTTGCTTCAAAGAATTGCTGAAAAATGCTCTGATGCACCATTTTCGAATGGAATCTGAAACCTAAGTAGGGTATGTGTTTATATATATATAAGACAAAGATTTCTTTATTAGCTGACACTGCCTGCTGTTAAAAGAAGTACAGATATTTTCAATTGCTTTCCAAAACTTTAAACTAAAAGAGTACCTGCTACTCCATCTTCCCGTACTTCTCCATCTTCCATCAAGTGAACTATTGGAAGTACAGCTGCACAAATGCATGCAGGAAACACTGCCTGTGGGGGCTGTGGCACATGATGATTTGGTGTGTGCTCTGCTGTATGCTCTTCATCTAAAAAAGATGTGGAAGTAAAGTCCAAAATATTTCTGACATTTCATCTATAGTTATTCCTGTTTATCTATATAACTACTATCTGGTTGTAAGAAACCCCATCCTGAATAAGAGATAGATTACCTCAAGTCCACTCATCAATGAATACCACTTTTGCATCTACTGACAAAACAATGTAAACACTCATAAAGGGGTAGATGTTTCAAAGCACAAGTCACTTTTTGTAATGTTTGATTCATATATCATCCTAAAGGTGTGCTTGCTACTGGAACCAGAAACTCTTCTATGTGATTAGCTGCCTATATAAGATGCATATATGGACTTTATCAAGTTTATCTGTGTGAAAGAAGCCAACTGAAAATGAACAACATTAATCATGTGATCAGATTTGGCACAAGCGACGTAGACACAGTTTTAATGTAAAGATCATCTGCCACATTAAATGGCACACAAAATAATAGGGTCTAAAATAATATCATGAATGAAGGCAAATATACGTGTCCAGCCACTTCGCACCACTTCGGCAGAGCCGGTAGCTAATTTTTTGTTGCCCAGGCCCAGAGTGGACTTCCGGTAGCGGCATTCACACAGAGAATCGGTGGTTTACATATTTGAATCTCACCACTATATGTGCCCAGGATAATGATGCAAGATCCAATCTGGGTCAGTAATTTTTAATGTGGATATTATTTTAAGATCCAGTCTGGACCAGAGGTTCCGAGCTTTCAGATTTGCGTTGGAGCCCATCCTCAGGAATTTCTCTCTAACGGAATGCTCGAGAGAATGGAATGTCTAACACATTCCGTTAGAGAGAAGTTCCCTGAAGATGGGCTCCAGTGTGAGTCCAAAAGCTCAGAAGAGTAAACCTCTGGTCCCGGTGACCAACCCAGACTGGATCTTAAATAAAGTCACATTAAAATTGTTGATTTAACTTGAGATTATTCCCTGGATAATAAAGTTGTCATCATGATGAGAATTAGGACACCTCGTATTGGAGATTACATAAACGTATTTTAAATACTGTGGGAAGACAGCTGTGTCAGTCTATAGTGGCAAAAAAAACCAGGAATCTGGTAGCATCTTTTCCAAGACATTTTAACACAGAAATAAAATTAAGAGTCAATAAGTCATTCATAGGACAACCCCCAATCTAATGTTCCCTTACCTTCAGCACTGACTGCTGAACGCACTGACCAAACTGACCCACGTCGAAAAGAATAGTTTCTATGTGATGTACTGGAAGTACACGATGGACTCACAGACAGACGGCGTGATGCCAGGTTGGTGACTTCTTCTACTGATAAAATCAATAGAAGATGTTTAAATTTTTATTTATGTAGTCTGCTGATTATCTGCAACAATGAAATCCATTTTATTGTATAATAATGAATAATACACTGTATTGTATTGTATTGTATTGTATTGTATTGTATTGTATTGTATTGTATTGTATTGTATTGTATTGTATTGTATTGTATTGTATTGTATTGTATTGTATTGTATTGTATCTATATAGGGATATGAAAAGATTTTGTATCAGATCTTCCCAGATCCATTTTCAGGAAATCTGCCAACAGCAGAATCGTTTGTATAACAAATTTGCAGAGGCCCTTGAAGCTCTTCTTGGACTTACATGTAACAAAACAATTTTATATGTCCTATGGCATTTCAGTAGCAGAAACCAATTAAGGAAGTCCGAAGCAATCATACCACCAATGATTTAAGATAGGGATAGGCATTTCCTGTAGTCTGCAGGTGCCTTATTTTTGCTGCCTTAACCTCATTGCCTCCAAATCACACTGTTAAATTTCAGTGGTATAATTTATTCTTTTTTCAACATAGAAAATAGGTATATTAAGCTACTTCCTCAAAAGAAAGAAAGAAAGAAAGAAAGAAAGAAAGAAAGAAAGAAAGAAAGAAAGAAAGAAAGAAAGAAAGAAAGAAAGAAAGAAAGAAAGAAAGAAAGAAAGAACTAGGAACAAAGACTGCAGCTCTGCATCTTCTGGTGATGTTAACCAGTAATGGCCCTTTGCAGTTCTTGGAAGTAGAAATAACTGATAATATAAATATAGAAAAAATCTGCCTTTCTTATGTGGTGTATGTCTTCATGTGATGACTTTATTCCTTGCTATCCCAAAAAACTCATTCCAGAGTACAAAGTGGGTGCACCTTCTTCTTCCTGCTCTGAGCTTGGGGAACAGCTGGGTTCATAGCAAGCTTCCTGGGTGATAGGTATGGCAGTAATGAGACTAGCTTCTCGGCCCAGACGTTTCTTCTCCTCTTCCTGTTGCAGGTTCTTCAGAATGTGTTCTGCTCGTTGATGAGAACGTGATACTGCCCTGGCTGAAAACGACTTCTGCAATCAAACCAGTAAAAAAGCAATTGAAAAAAAATTGCCCTGTTTTTTATAAAGACACTTGCATACTTGAATACTACTTCACCAAACTCAACTCAGGATTATTTTTGTGAATAATTTATCAACTATCAGATTTTATCACCCATCACACCAAAGAAAAGAATGAAACTATACAAAGTGTGTGTGTAATATATATTGGGTAATCTTGAGATTTGCAGGTTATCTGATCTCATTTTGGAAAAAAATAAGTGAAGAACTGCCAAAATTCATGAAAACTGAGTATTACCAAATGTTGCATATGTAACAGAGGAAGAAAGGAGAAGGATATTGACAACTATTTGGAAATTAAATGGAATATGTGCTATGAAGCAGGGACAAAGCTAGAAAATTTAGCTAGACCCCTTATATTATTAAGATAAGCTTCTTCCTGGTTCAGATTGACAAGATATTTTTAAATGTCTGAAGAATGGGACTGGCAACCACCCACAGCATTTTTCTCTGTATGAGGAAAAGAATAAATTCTTGTAATAATGTTCTAGATTGTTATGCCTAGACTCAATTAGACAAATGATATGTGTAATCAAGAATAGCTGTAGAAGACTTTAGGTATGATGGACAAGCCAATTGAAAAACAATTTGGGGTGCTATTCCTTCACCTGGTGACAGCTGCGAAGATTGTACTTGCCAAACACTAGAAAGAAAAAGATATGCCAACTATTGAAGAATGGATTGTGAAATTGACTGAACCAGCAGAGATGGTGAAATTAATTGCTTTGATTAGAGATAATGGGCTAAACAGCTGTATAAGAGACTGGAAACCATTTGTAGACTTTCTACGTGCTAAATATAATAACAGATGGTCAACAGAGGGATTTGAAGATTTAGTGTAATGTTTAGCTAAACCTAAACATATATATATATTTGTAAAAGGGGAGGAGAATTTACTGCTTTTTCTTTTCTTTCAGCACCCAGCCAGGGCGGAACCTGCATGTTAAATGTTAAATTTAATTGACCACTTTTTCTTTTTCTTTTTCTTTTGTACATGAATTTTTTTCTTTTTTGTTGTTAGGGTTGAATGTAAGCTTTTGTTTTGTTTCATTTTGCTTGTTTGTTTTATTGTTTTGTATTTTATTCTCTGTGATAAAACAATACATAAAAAAAAGAATAGCTGTAGAAGGCTGATAACAAAAACAGTTCCAGAAGCATATAATTAGAACTTATTATACTGCATATTAAGAAACAAAAGACTAAGCATAAATCAGCCAATCCTATTTCTAAAAGATGCCTTGAGGAAAGATGCCTTGAGGATTTATTAAGCTGTCTTATATTTTTTTCTCCCTGGCTTCACCCTCTACCACAGTTAGCTTTTCATTTCTAAAATACAGGTGCCCATTCCAAAGAAAGTCCTACTTACAGACTGATCTTCATTGATGGGGTCCTGCACACTCCCACTGCACTGGGGAACCCATGGAGGGTCAAACATAGGGACAGACGGCATTCCAAGCACTGGAGAGGGCAGGGTGAAGTTAATACTTGGTGGAGGAATCTGTAAAAATAAGCCCAGAAGATTCAATATAATAATAATCTCTCTTGTATATCTCTCCTGAAAATGCATTTTTCCAGGAACAAGGAAATGTCAAAATATGTCAATTTATTTAATTCTATCCTGAGATAAAGAAGAATTAGAAAATACAGTTTTTCCTCACACAATACAATGGAAAAGCAAGTAATTCCTTCTTGAAATTTTTGGGTGGTTAAGTTAGGATTCCTTTATTTTTTAAAACTTAATTATAATACATAAATAAAATGCAAAGCAAACTTTTTCTTATCTAGGCAAACAAGCATTTTCCAAGCACTATAAGAACTGTTTGAAATAATAAAAAAAATTAGCTTTGATCAAAGAGGGAAGACAGTGTTCATAGACATTGGTATATATTCCAAAAGTTCTGTACTGTTTTTCTTTTTTTCTCAATATAGAGCATCCAGAAAAAGTACTAGTATTAGGAAATGGAGATTTGAAGGCCAAAGAATTTGGTCATTTTTCTTTCATTATATCATCTTACCATATGTCTTGACAAACATAATACTAATATATTATTTCCTTTCAGCTATAAATTATAGGGTTAAAATAGCTGTTCACATGGGAGAACGATAGATCTGCAAATGTGAAGGAATATAGACTTGGCCTTGGGGAGGGAGAAGGAATGAGCAAGGTGTTTAACAGGGGAATTTTAGAAAAGATGACTCTTGGAATCCATGTTGGCATGAAATATCACAATCTTGAAAGTCTGTCAGAGTTTGTCTGTACAATATTCTTTATTCTTCTCTTATACCAAAGAAAATCAAGGTGGGAATATTTTGAGTTTCTTTCTCTCCCTTTCTGCTTTTTCTGGGCTGAGTCATCTTTTCTAAAATTCCCCTGTTAAACACCTTGCTCATTCCTTAGACTCCATGTTGTGTCTTCCTGTTTTTTGAGACTTTGCCTACCTCAAAGGGCTGTGACAAGACCCTCTAAATGACTTCATTTACACTTCAACAACTATAAGGAACCAGGCTATTTTGGGATTACAGTGTGCAGTTTACTTCATAGCATTCTTTAAAAATGGTATACTAGAATTTCACTCTCAGTGCTTCTAAAAACTAGAACTTGCCTATCAGCTCCAACTAGATTAAATCTCAGAAACTCAATATGGCATAGTTAATAGAGAATTTGTATGATCCACTATGTTAGAAACTGCTTTAAACAATTGACTGTTTTTTTAATAGTTAAGACTTCTGATAAAATCTCTTAAAACTCCACCCCCCCGAAGGTTTAGTCTCTACAATGTTTTTTTCTAGTGCTTTCTACAGCTTACAAACCACTGCTTTATCTTTCCCACCAATTGAGCAAGAGTACAATTGATTATTTATAATTTTATCCAGGGAAAGTTTAGTTCTATATTTCTACAAAGGCAAAAGAAGAGTGAAATCAGTCATCAGAAGAATCAAGAAGGAGAACTGAGAATCTAAAACAGGGATGTCTAACTGCTGTCCCACGGCCGGTTGCATCATAAGGAGGCTGTGCCCACCCCAGCTCCAGCAATGCAAAAAAAGTCATGATATGTCATGACACGTCACGTGACTTGGCGAGTTTGACACCTGTGATCTAAAACAAACTTATCACAAGTGTGGTCTACAGTACTCAACTAGATCAAACTCTATTCAGAGTTGATGGAAAAATTGGTGGCACTGTGATTAGAATGCAGTATTACAGGCAAAATCTGCCCACAACTTGGAATTTGATCCTAATGGGACTCAATGTTTACTCAGATTCCATCCTTCTGAGATCAGTAAAATTGTTGGTGTCAATATGCTGACTTTTATAAAGCACTCAGAGAGTGCAGTAAAGCACTATGGAGCAGAATATAAGTCTCAGTCTAAGTGCTATTGCTATTGCTTTCATGACTCATAGCAGAGACCATGATGATATAGAATCTATGAGATTCCCATGCATAGAACCCAAAATATGGATCCAGGACATTGATGACACCTTTGTTATAATAAAAAAGAAACAATTAGAGAAGACACATGAAACTATCAACATCATCAAAGGAATAAAATTCACAAGGGAAGAGGAAAATAACAACAACAACAATGGATATCTTCATCAGCAGAGGCAATGACGGCAAATTAGAAACACAAGTCTATATTAAATCTGCCCAAACAAACCAGGTACTCCACTACAAAAGTAACTACCCAACTTGCCACAAGAGAAACTCCATAATAATACTAGACAAACACAAACATATTGCAGCAACCCTGAACATCAGGAAAAGGAAACAGATTGTCTATACAACATCTTCCAACATAATTGATACCCGTGCAATTTTATTAAAAAGTGCATGACCACTCATCCCACTACAACCAACACAAGCTGTGAAAAGGATAACACTGCCATACAACAAAAACATCTCAGAAACCACCAATAGACTATTACGACCACATGGCATCATCATAGCATGCAAACCAACTAAAGCCCTCTAAAACAGGGGTGTCAAACACGCAACGTCATGTGACGTGTCGCGACGTAGCGTGACTTTTTTGCCATTGCCAGCAATGGGGTGGGCGCGGTTTCACTATGATGTATCCGGCCCGCGGGCCAGCAGTTTAACACCCCTGCTCTAAAACATCCTAAGTAAACACAAAGATCCAGCAGCCCCAGAAGAAAAAACAGGAGTCATCTACGATACGCAGTGTAAAGGTCAAGCAAACAGAAGACTAGCAGAGCGCATTCATGAACACCAACTGGCAGTCAGAAGACATGATGAAAACTCCTTAATTTCATAACACATGAACAGACATAACCACTGGAAAGCATCCTAGACCAAGCCAAATTCAAAAATGCTAGAGAATTCCCTGGAAGCCTGCCATTCAGGCAAATCAGTCATCAACAGGCTCATAGAAATAAATAACATCTACATTCAAAAGAGAAAATGAAAAAGCTAAAAATGAAACAAAAAGACCAAAACACCTCCTCACAGCAATTGACCCCCAAATAAGCAGACATTAACATGAAGATTAATATTAGACCAGCAATCAAGAAGTAAACAATACTCCAATCAAGGAACTACAAACTCAGACAAACAACAGTAAACAACAGCCTAATCAAATAACCACAAAGAACACTCCCATCAACACTGACGGGGCAAGCCTCTAGTACAGGGCTTTTCAACCTTTTCACCCATTGTACCACTTTTAGGATATGGCAATATCCGAGTACCACCAGTCGCCTAGCAAGGTGTCAAAAACTTGATGACCAAAAAAAAAAAAAAAGGAAAAAAGTGATAAAGTACAGGTAGTCCTCGACTTACAACAGTTCGTTTAGTGACTGTTCGAAGTTACAGTGGCACTGAAAAAAATGGCCCCCAAGGCACAACCGAGCAAGACACCTGCCTGCCCACCCAGCGGCGCTCTTCCTCCTATTCGAGGTTTTCATTGTTGTGAGCATTTCTATTGGGGATTGGCAGAGGAAGTGGGGTGGGGGGTGTTTGGTTTTTATTCCCCCCGTCTGCTGGGTGGTTGCAGCAGGTTTTGGTCACTTCCCATGACCCTGGGACACTGTGACCGTCATAAATATGAATCAGTTGCCAAGCATCTGAATGTAAATCACAAGACCCTGGAGATGCTGCAACATTCCAGCTGATCGGCGCTTCTTCTGGGCTCAGCAGAAGCACCAGGATCAGTGCTGCTTTCCAGCTGATTGGTGCTTCTTCAGGGCTCAGTGGAAGCGCCAGGATCAGCGCCGAGCTCCAACTGGAACCTGGCGCTGATCCTGGCGCTTCCACTGAGCCCTGAAGAAGCACCAATCAGCTGGAAAGCAGCACTGATCCTGGCACTTCCACTGAGCCCTGACAGCCCTGCAGCTCCAGCCATCTCTCGCTCAGGCTTGTGCGGTGCTGCCACCGGTTCAGCTCATTCCCCTCCCCCACTACCACTTTTCTAGGATGGTCGCGTACCACCTGCCAGGTGCCAATGTACCACAGGTGGTACCCATACCACTGGTTGAAAAGCCCTGCTCTAGTATATAAGTAGAGAGCAAACCTTGTTCCCTTCTAGCATTGATGATGTTACCTACGGTAGTTTATTACCAAGCTCAGACAGTAGCAAGAACCCCACAGTTCAACTCTGAACTACAAATATTCTCCTCTATTGGTAATATTGACTGTAAGATGAATTTGGCAGATTTTGAATCACATAGTTTAGGATAAAATCATAAAGATTTTATAAACCTTTTTTCATAAGGATTTCCACCTAAGGAGATAGAGCATCAGACCATTTATACTTGGCGAGAAAAAAATTAAAAGCATTGCTATGTGAATCCTTGATACAGACTAATGTCATTTTATAGCTCAAAGGATCTGATTTGCAATTAAGTTATCCCCTCATTCTGTGGAAGTTGATTCAAGACACCAGAGTTTAAATTTTCATCTCTTATCCTTTTGGTTCTGTTCATAATTGTTGAGAGAGTTTTTGTTATTGTTGTTATTTGTTTAATCATTTTACTTGATAAAAGGTTCTTGAAAACTTGAAAGCCAGCATGCTATTTTATAAATTTTGAATTAGCATAATATATTATGAAAGTTTAGGTTCCAACACATATCTATTACCTGACCTAAGTGTCACTTAACTCAAGTACTGTAGTGATAATACTTACTATATGGAAATATATCAGGTGGTACATTGTTCACCTTAAAGATTTGTTGAGCTCCTTCCTCCATGCGAGGCCATACTTGATATCTAAATCTCCAGAGAGTGTGGAACTTGAGAATGGCATTCAATCTCTGCACTGCCTCCGAGTGATGAAATTCAGACATCAGCATATCTGAAACTGCCTCTGGTACTTTCACAGCACATAGAAGGAACATGGCAGCTGCAGAAAGTAAATATTCCATGAAAAATCTTTTTTTTCTACAATCTGGAGCATTATTATTTTACTGATGTACCTGAGGCTGAGAGGTCGAAGGTCTGCTCATTAAGCTGATAAGCAGACTTGATAACAAAAGGAGCAGGTAATTGTCTTTGAATTTCAAGCAGAGAAATATCATGAAGAGAAGACAAGGTGGCAATGCATATAAATGTAGGCTGCATAGGAAAGGTTCTCAAAATCAGAGGAAGATTTCTGTGGTATTAGATCGAAAATCCTCAGAAGCCAATGCTGGGTAAAACTACTATGTTAGTTCCAATTCCTTAGGATTTGATTTTTGCACTCTTGAGGGCATTCTTAGAATGTGAGAGGAGCCTCTTACCTGCTGCACCAGCCATGTGCTCATCCATACTAAGCAACAGCTCCCATGCTGCAGGCTGGATGTCCCCATACATCTCTTCTGTGAGGATGGGAGCTGCCTTGATTAACAGTGAAAGTGGTGCTGGAGACAGGCTCATCACCTGCAAAAGAAAACCATGCCTTAAGTAATATAAAATAGGGCCCTCACAAACATATTAATGTTCTGCTGAGGGGAATGTAGCACACAGAATAAGAGTACTGAAGACTGGAGCTTCTTCACAGAGACCTTGCAATGCCAGACAATCTATTATTTAAAGAGATTATAGAAAACTGATCCAAGAAGAAAATGCAAGTAAAAATTGGGGAACACTTATCTAGATAGCTTCTACCGTACTGGTAGTCCTCACTTAGTGATTCTTCAAAGTTATGATGGACCTCCCCAGAATTACTTTCAACCTAGTTCTGGAGTTCTGATGGCCATACATACATATACCCTGAGGGCATTTGATCACATTTTGGGTGCCTGACAACTGGCTTGCATTTAGGGCCATTTGCAGTGTCCCACATGACTGAGATTTTTAGTGGTTTTTGATGGTTTCTGGTCCTTACTTCCGTTTCTAGCAAAAAACAGCCATTGAAGAAAATGGGTTGACTTAACAATCACAGTGTCTGCTTAACAATGGCATTCTTTTAACAACTACAGTTTTTACTTAATAAGCAGTACAAAAAAAAGCTTGTAAAATTGAGCACTGTAACGGTAACCAATTTAACAACTGATGGTAACCAATTTAACAACTGACATGAGTTATCATAGTAATTCTAAGATAAAATACGGTAGTAAATTGAAGACTACCTATAGATAAATTAGATAATCTGAATTATCGACAGTGCATTCATGCAGGTCATGAATACGACAGTCCTATAGTGCTGAGATAGACTTCACAGAGACCTACAGTATGTTACTAGGCACATAGTGTCTCGGTGCAAGGCAGTAAGGCAGCTGAATCATGTTTCCATCACATGTTACATGCAGTGCAAACTGTGCATTGCCAACATTCTACCACATATACAGTATTACCAGACACCATAGATATATAATATATATATATATATAAGGCTAAACATAATGTTGCACTAGTGAATTATTCCTGTAAGTAATGGAAATTCGCATTACCTGATGCCTTATGTATTTCAGCATTCCAGAGTCTTTTTTTCCTTCGAGATTAGAATCCATCACTCTTTTCTTCAGGGAGGGTGTTCTGAGGCATGACTTGTCTGAACACTGAAAGACAATTGACCTAAACAATTCTGAGTGCTTTCAGAAGTTAAGTCATTAGTGGAAGCTGGGGGTCTCATTCTGTCTCTGATAATAGTACACTTAACTAATGCAGCTTTCCCTTGTTGACCAGAAACCACTGATAATGAGAGAAGCTGACATTTCCTTCTTGGCCTGTTTCCAAAATGATGCATCATCCAAAATTATGCAGGTTTCACAGGATCTAACAGTCTCATCAGAATGTTGAAACAAATATTATGAGGTCAGCTTCACCCCTCACAACATTTGTATAACACATGCTCCAAAAGGATGAGGCTTGCTTCATCCTTCATTTGCCCTTTTGTTCCCTGTATCAAAACAATCACAGCAACATGGGCAGCAAACAAATTTAATAAATAAAAATAAATTGTTTCACTAAAGGAAGGATCCTATATTAAACATAGTTCTTAGAAACTCCTCTCGCATCTGTTCACCTGTGAGAGAGTAGCAGCCAAGTGTGACAGTCTGAAATAAATGTCTAGGCAGCTGAAAAATGAGCAATTAATTAATTTATTCATTACCTCTTACCTCTTTTTGTTTTTTGCCTCTGGCCACATTATTTAATAAGTTATTTTCTTTAAGTGAATCCACAGTGTCTCCATACAAAAGTTTGATGGCCCGGACAAGACGTGCACATGAACGACTGTGGTGGAGGTAGCAGTGAGGGTGGCAGTAATCAACATGGGTACAAATGAAACTCTGCTGGTTGCATAGCAGGACCATCACCTGGAAGCATGAAGTATGAATGTTTATAGAATTGCAGTCCTGTCTTTGTGCCAAGAGAAAATTATGTGAACATCCTTTTTTAGATATCAGAAACCATAGAGAACAAAATCTTTGAAATGTTTTCAAACTATTTGTCTCCTTCCCCATTCTCTTCAATTTAATATTTCACTAACTTTGACAAATAACTCATGGATGAGAGATAAAGCAAATATCTCAACTCATTAACCTTAATAGTTAAACATATTTGTTCAGTTGATCAATGAAATGCTCCAGTGCAAAGTGAGATCAAACAATACCCCTTTCCTTTGTTCCAAAGGCCATGGCAGAGTTTTCCACACTTCATTTTGTAATAAATTTTATTGTATTCTAATATATCAACTCACTATTTTTAAATGGCAAAAGCTTAGCTTGAAATTTGATTGGCTCAATTTGCTTGATCACAAAGCACATCTCGAATTGAAGGAACGCTGGCCAATTCTGAATCCTCCTTCCCTCTCCCTGCCATCAGATGAGCCAAGAAACAGCTTTAATAAAAACAGCCGATACAGATCAGGGCCAGAGCATTATGGAGATTTGTAAATATAGCTAGATTGGACTGGGTTGTGCTTTGCCTCAGGAGTTAAAAAATCTGCCTATATTACTCCCCTTGACTTCTGGATTTATGTTTGAAAGATTGTGAGGTATGCTGTTATTACTAATCTAGGAAACAACTACAAGAGCTTGAAAGAGTTTAGATTGCATCAGAGAAAATCCACTTTTAACTTGGGACATCTGAATGTCTCTAAATCATCTTAATTTGGCTCAGGATATAGGATTTAGACACATTGTAAATGTATTGTTTTAATTACACTATTTTTTTCTGATTCATTCATCTATCCATTCTGATTGATCTTCAAAGTCCATCAAACATTATCCCAGTGAAATACTACTTTTTGCGTTCACATAGCTCTAGGAAATACAAGTAGTCCTCAGCTTAGGGCCACAACTGAGCCCAAAAATTATGTTGTTAAGTGAGACATTTGTTAAGTGAGCTTTGCCCCATTTAATGACTTTTCTTGCCACATTTGTTAAGTGAATCACTGAAGTTGTTAAATTAGTAATACGGTTGTTAAGTGAATCTGGCTTCCCCATTGTCTTTGTCAGAAGTTGCAAAAGGTGATCACCTGATTCTAGAACACTGCAACCATCATAAACGTGAACCAATTGTCAAGCATCCAAATGTAAATCATGTGGCCATGGGTGTTATGAATTAAGCAATTCATAAGGTCTGTTATAAAAAATGGTTAACTGCTTGTTCTATTTGAATTATAGACTGTCTATCTGTATAACTTTAAGCCTTTGTTTTAGGCGGGAATGAGTACTTTAAATTGATTGGCCGCCGCCTAGTGGCGGTCCATATAAATATAAGTCAAGCAGCTGCTAGAGTTGCTTCTGTGAGAACTGAATAAAGAGCTGTTATCTCAACTCCGTGTCTTCAATGCCTCACTGTTCCCACGACACAACAATGGGGATGCTGCAACGGTCGTAAGTGTGAAAAATGGTCATAAGTCATTTTCAATGCCTTTGTAATTTTGAATGGTCACTAAACGAATTGTTATAGATCAAGGACTACCAGTAAAACTCAACAGCTATAGTGCCTCAGTTGATGGAGTTCTTCCTTAAGTCTTAAAATACCTTGTGCTGGGAGCCCTGGCAAAAGTAAGGCCAATGCAAATTATTCTACCAAATAATATAGCAGCTTCTATTTCTAGTTTTGTTTAATGGCGCTTCTGAATGTTTCTGGAGATAGGACAATTACATTCTTGAGTAGTTGAAACTTTGTTATTCATAAAAAGGAACAACCTTAATTCCCCTCTGCTCTGATGACAAACTGTGAATGTTATATAATTCTAGGGAAACAAAAATAATCTCTACTTACATGTAGCCACGTCATATTCCGGTGATAGTTATCTTCTGTTCCAGTGCTGCTGAGCACTTCAGGTTCTATACTAGGTTCACTTGCACTCCAAGGGCTTCCTTCTTAAAAACAAACAAACACACACACACATCCAAGAGTAGTTGTCTTCTGATGCTAACTCCATATTTTGAATCTAATATATATATGCTTGTAAGCCAGACCAGGGTTATGAAACCAATTGATTTTATTCCCTTATATATATATTTTTTTAGAGAGAACAGAATAATATGCCAGAAGCATACAATTCCTAATAGGCCATTCACATTCAGGAAGGAATGTGAGTTAAAAATGTCACCTCCAACCTTTCTTCATGTCCCAATTATTAGCTAGATTGATCATTACAAGCATAATTTATAGTCACCATGGAAATGACCACTAATCAGGGATAAATATTGTTCCCTTTTCTGGAAGAGGGGAGGGAGAGTAAGTAGAAACAAAATTATTGCATAATCATGCTTCTGCCAATTGTTGGTTTCAGTGATCTGCATTGACTGGGCTCCATGTTAAAGAAAGATAATACACATATTCCAGCAATGGCAGCAATTTGTTACAATTACTGCCTTGTTAGGTCCCATCGAGGGGTTACAGAATACTGGGGGAAGAAAGAGAAAAATCCTGAGGGACATTTGAGAACAAAGGCAGAAGAATGCTCTCTCAGACCCCAGAGTTTCCTGCATGCACTTATTGCCAATGGGCCTTCCAATCAGACAGAACCTTAGCACACAATTTGTTTACTGTATTGTGATATTATGGCTGCAATCCTATATCCACTTGCTTGGGAGTTAGCACCACTGAATTCAATGGGAGAAATTTCTCAGGAGATATGCATAGGATTGTATTGAGGCTATAAAAAAGGCAGTATTTCCAATTACATCTTTCCCCCACCCTTAAAGCAAATATGCATTGACTTGGATGTCTACATAGAAGAGAAAGAGCACGGGCAATACCACTGAGACCCACAACGGGGAAAAGAAAAAAAAAGATTGGTCTAGGATGTATCTGTCTCTGAGTTCTTCTCTAAAATAAATCTCTAGAAACAAGTATTTTGGAGATTGACGAGTACACATATATTTATCTCATAGAAAGCAAAATATATGCATATTGTATATATAAGTATATGCATAGTACATACTATTGCAATGAGATGTGTATGTGTGTGAGAGAGTGAGTGTATATATACAATACCATATATATTATATATGCCACTGATATATAATATATGTTGTTTTTATATATACCTTCCTAATCACGGCATGCACTTGTTTGGCAGTCAGGAAAATGCCTGTACAGAGTCCACACATCAAGCATTTCTATTTTTAAAATTTGCCATTCATTGAGTGGAGCAGCACTGACTACTTCAGGAGGTATTGGCAGGGTTCAAGCTCTGTCCTTGCCAAATGTGAAGTCCATGCAAGAAAGGGAACTCCTGATTCAAGCCTGGGCCATGGGAGGTCTGCCTGGCCTCCAAGCCCCTTTCCTAGATCTCCTAAGCTAAGGATGCTGCTACCTCAAGATCCCTCTCCCTTTTTTTAACCAAGCTCATCTGTGTTACCTATGTCAGTGACAGTGTCCCTGCTGTGGGACAGCTGCAGCTCCTCATTCTCAGACTCTGAGTCCTGACGGGATAACTTGGTGCTCTTTAGGCTGCCGGCCCGGCGAATGCTGGACAGGGAACCCCCTCTCTTCACCCGGAAACTGCGTGTTCCTTTAATCTGGAGCAAGCGGGAGCCTCCTATCCTGATCTTCCTGCTGGGAACTGTATTAAAAGAATAAAAGAGGACTTTTTCCCCCTTATTTTCCCCCATTTTAAAGTAGAATGACGTATATTTTGTATAAAATTATACTTTTCACCCTCCCCCCTCCTCCGCCTGCATTTCAATGCCTTTTTCATTTTTTCAAGGAAGACCAGCAAGAGGCTCCCTCCAAAGCAACATCAAGATGGCTTTAGAAATCATCCCTTATATGGGATGCCTTAGTGAAAGGTAAGACAAATCTATTGTATTACACCTCAGTCCAGCCATTAGTGTTATTCAAATACTTTACAATCAGCATTATTGGAAACCCCACAGCTAAACCACAAAGCTATATTTAGTGCCAAGCAATTTGCTCTTATTTACATAGAATAGTTATCTTTCCATGTTTGCTGGTAAGACTTTTGCCATTCCATCGAACACTCGTCACTGGCTATCAATGACTGAGCTGCAAGTTCCATCAAGGCATTGGAACAGAGCTGTTTTCCAGCTAGCCCAAGGCTGATCACATTTTGTGATAGAATCATAACTTTCCATCATGTAGTAAGTATAGTAGGTGGCCTGCTTGCTTAAGCTAGGCATGTCATTTGCTTATCCACTCTGAATGTTACCTTTGTATAAATCGTCGTCTTTGCACATTAAACTTCACCAGAATTCTACAGAAAAAGCAACAACATGTGGTCCCACTCTTCAGATAGTTCAGAAGTTTTCAGGCATTAAAGACATCTGTGTATATGTTGAGTGTATGCATGTGTGTGTGTGTGTGTGTGTGTGTGTGTGTGTGTGTGTGCGTGTGTGTGTGTGTGTAATGAGCACGAATACATGGAATGGTTTGAAGCACCAGTCACTGGCATGTTGTTCTCCACTCAGCTCTAAGGCAGTACATGGGCAATATGCATGTCCAAATGTTGCAACACTCAGCTGTACATCTATTTAAAAGTGAACACACAGCACAAGTCACAATACAAATAAATGATAGTTGTTGCTTGGGGCCAGAAGAAAGGGCAATGATGAAATAGGAAATATCTAAACTTGTTAAGATCTAGGCTTTTAAACAGATGGAGAGGGAGGAAATCCTGATTTTTACACATTTGCACTCCACCATGGTGAATGCACAATTTACTTTGCAAGTGATCACTTTTAGCATATGATTAACCAGAAATCATATTTGTATTTGCTTGGCTTTGTAGTTTTATCAATGAGCCTGAAAGTGGCATATTGTGTAACAAACTATCAGAGAAATATCATATTATTCCTCTGACAAGATCAGTGAAAGATTTTGCACAGTGTCTTAAAGGATAGGAGATAAATTCTGGAATAAGCTTCTGGGGACTAGAGTATTTGATGCATGAATTAAGAGTAACTTTTTAAAAATCTACTTGGTATTAAAAAACCTACACCTCAATGCATCTTGTAATTTTTAATGTGCTACAAGCATGTTGTTGTTGTTTCTATGATTAAATTATAACCTAACTGCGGGCAAAGGATTCCTGTAATAGAAAACTACTTCTAAAATACATATTACAGTCCTGGAATCAGTTACAGAAGCCGAAAGGAGAGGAAGGGGAAAAAAGAACAGAGGAAGAATGAAAAGAAGAAAGGAGAATAATTTATTATTACGTAACACAGCAACAATAACAATTAGGCTGTATTCCATAGAAGTTTCACTGAAGTGTACAAATATTTTGAATAGGAACTAAAGAGTTTATAGATTTGTATTTCATCCATTCTAAAAATTCCTTAAAATATATTGTTGTTGTTGTTCCTGACCCCCCTCCTGAAAAGAGAGAGAATGAAAACTTTGTTTTAAACAATGCCAAACACTACATTAATTCCATTGGCACATTTCCAGTAACATATAATTATTGAATTTTGTTCTTTTTATAGTTGTTCTTTATATACTGTATATGTAACCTGCTTTATACCGTTGAATTTAATTAGGTATTGGTCCTGTACCACAAAGAAGATTTCTTCTTCTCAATAATAGGTAATTGGGCATTGTTAAGGAACATTCATTTCTCTATTTTAGATGCAGGTGCAATATCAGTTATAGTTTTCAATAAAAAGGAATTCATTATTTAACCTATTGAAATCTGTTTTCTGAATACTGGATTTTAATTCCATGATCTGCTAAAACTCAGCACAGCAGTTCAAAATGTACTTAGCTACAATAGTCAATGTATGCAATCAATAACAGATTTTAATTCTGATCAATTGTTTCAGCCTAATGTTCAGTTAATTTTAAAAACCTATTATTAAATATAATGAAAAGAAATAAAAGGGGGGAATGTTTATTGTTTCCAAATCAATTTTCTAACTTGTTAGAAAACCAGATACTAGTTTTGTAGAAGTTACAAGTAAAACTGTATGATATTTGTATCCATATCTGTAGTTTTGATAGTAATAAATCCCAACCAAAATGACTTTCGCCAAAAGGAAATATATTTCATTAAAAAACGTCTTGGTCACATTCCATAGCCTTTCTGACATAGCAGCAATCCAACATTTGCAATCTATTCTTGAATAGAAAAATCCCTTATGGCATATGTAATATAGAATTAACTTTTGAGTAAAGCTTTTATAAGGAAAAATGTGTTTTTCAAAATCACTAACATTGCTTTTACTGCAATTTTAATAATTTATATTATGTTTTCACTGGCTGATTTATTTTATTTTATTGTATTATTTAAAGTTTAATTATTGTTATTTCTGTTATTTTAATGTTGCACATCTTCTTGGATACTTTTAGTTAATTAGTATAATAAGCCATAATCAATAATTAAATGTTGTGAAATACACACACACACACACAATTCTGTTAACACCTCACAGAGATCAAGAAATATTTTTTCTATAAATTATGAGCCAATTTTACATAACATACTTTTAAACCACTAACAAGTAAACAGATTAACATAAAACAATAAATTAAAAGTGAGATGAGTTCATATTATACTTAAAAATATTCTTTTTTTAGCTTCAATAAGTTTTCTGTGCAAACCATATCTTATTTAAATTTATCCTTGAGAGTGGGCAACAAGAGATATATTCATATGGACAGAGTTAAATGGAGGAAGTAACATTTGGTGCAGCTTTTTCATATTTGTCTGGCATTGCTAATGCATAGATACAGCCAGTAAAAAAGGGCTGCCATGTACATACACATCACCAGAGGCACCTCCCTGTTTTGGAAGTACCAAGTCACATGTTACAAGCAGTCCTTGACTTACAATCATTCATTAAGAAACTGTTTAAAGTTACAATGGCACTGAATAGTGGTTACAAATAGAATTCCCTTCTCAACTGGCACTTCTTGCACACCCTCATTTAATCACATCACTTAGCATTGGAAATTCCAGTCTCAACTGATGTTGTAAGTTTAGGACTACTTGTACAGCAACTTCCAGGAAGGATATGCATTGTACGCCGCCTAGAGTCACTATTGATGGCAAGATGCATGGCAAGATAAATTTAATCAATAAAAAAGTAATATTCAATATGAAGAGCTTTAGATTATTCTTACCAGTTCTGTTGATGAAATTAGTACCTTCCTGAAAATATTTCCAGTCTTCCCCAACCATTTTGATATACCACTGATTCCTATTTTCACATAACTGTATTGAGAATTGTGGTGCTATGACAGGCTTATGCAACTTAAATGTCCAAACATTGAATATATCCCATTTTGTCTGCTAAGGAAGTGGATTTAGGACCAGCTGTATATTCCAAAATGAAGTCCAAACTCCTCACAGGAAATACAACTGTTAAAACAATCCTATACATCAAGCATCTAAACTTCAATATTCAGAAAAGGAACAAACGCAATACCAAAAATGAAAAATTAAATCTTTGTCAATTTCCCATGAAATAGAATCAGCCAGGATTCAAGACTCAGTCAAAATAATACGAAATTTCTTCATCATTTAATTTATAGTTTATTATAATTTCATAAATCATAGTACCTTATCTCTTTAAAACTACTGTTATATATTTTTAACTACAAAAAGAAAACAGTGTACTTTATGAGTTATTCTCTGTTATATTGATAGATTGGACTATTATTTATAATAAGTAATAATAAATTAAGTAGCTACTGGCTCTATTTTGGATTGAAACCTTAAATATTAAAATAATATTAGATTTGTAGTGTTTGTTTTATGCATGAGATGGCATTACAACAATAAATATTCTAGTGCCTGTAGTAAACATGGAAATGTAAGCTTTGAAATTACACATCACATTTTGGAATTAGTAAACAAGAGTGACATGGCAGATGAGTTTTAAGCATATTTTAATTTTGGTTTAAGTTAGAGGGAGCAAGTTATTGATTTATTTTTAAATGCATATACATGAGCCTCTGGCTGTTTCATATATAAAACAAAACATTAAAGCACTTAATTAAAGTACTTTAAACATTAAAATATTGATGTATTGTCTATTTACTACTTACTAAATTGGTCCATAACCTAGTGCAGACAAATATGATTTTAAGTACTCCAAAAACTGACAGAGGTATTTAATTTATATTTAAATGATCTATCTCATAGCAATGACTCTTTTATAGAAATCTGCATTGTAGAATTAAAAATTAAAAGACGATGAGGAGGAGGAGGAGGAGGAGGAGGAGGAGGAGGAGGAGAAAGAGGAAGAGGAGGAAGAGGAGGAGGAGGAATAGGAGGAGGAGATGTTTGTCTGATAGACTATATCTAGGCACAACAATTCCACCCATTGTTCAAATATGGAACTGATAACATTGAAACTAAAGTGCCAAAAATACATCTAAATACAAAACATATTTGATTCAGCTTAGTATTCTCTAATATTATTTGGGGGAAAACAAGGTCATGCTGTGCACAATGACATTAGAATTTGCAATAAAACAAAAGCTTCAGTAGGTAACAAACCTTTCTTCTCTTCACAACCTGTGTCAGACTTCAAGGTATGACTGCTGCTGTGTAAGGAATCTTTTGAATCTTCATTTTCATCCAAAACCCCAGCAAAGCTGATCTTCCTCTCATACCTGTGTCGATCCATCTCAGGATCCAAACGCAACCTGCAACTCTCCAGATCCTATAATATTATATAAACATAACAGTGTATGAAGAACAAGTATATAAATAAAACAGGCCTTCAAGTTTTCTTCTGAAGCAAGAAGAATTCAAACTGAAAGGGAAATGTAAATGTTGCATTAGATTTTATCCTACTGTTTTGCAATGAACCCAAGAAAGAACTAGACTGTACTGAAAATAATTGACTTTATAGCTGATTTCTATATGCTGCTCTTATAATTCTATTATAAATATTTTCAGGGGAAGGTGCTCTAAAGATTAAATAGAAATAGCCAACAACAACAACAAAACCAATTTGTTCTCAGTGATTTTCATGCTGGAATAAATATTACCAAGTAGGGTCCAAAGCTTTTGCCAATATTACAAAAACTGTATTACATCATTGTGGCACAAGCTTTGCCTCTTTTTTATGACCATGAGATATTCACAAAGCACACCGAAATAGGCAGAGCTTTCAGAGCAACAGTAAGAAGCTGCTTTTATATTTTGCTTGCCACTACTCACTTCCTCTAAAGAGACCTCTATGTATCTAAACTAAACTCAGAATGTCAAGAATGGTTGGACTAAATTGCCATCCATCCATCTTGAGAAATCTTTTTTTTCCAAGACTTATGACTAAACCTCTGGCCATTTTGGAAAGCATGTTTTTACTCTATCTCATCAATATATTCTTTAGCTACACAGTTGGTTTTTGGTTTCCTGCCCTACCCGGACCTTCCTCTACTTCTGCAACTTTATTCTTTTACATCCCAGATCCATTCCTTCCTCTCACGTACCACAAGAGGTTCAGTACGTGGTCTGGGCATGTAGGGAAAGGTCTCTCGAAGAAAAGTGGTGATCTCTAGAAGAAGCTGACATGCTGCCATCTTCAACGCAAAAGGACAACAACATTTGGTGGGATTTACTGTACCTAAAAAAGAAAATATACATACGTTCTGTTACAAAAAAAAGACCAGCAAAGAAAAAAGATCATTCTAAAACAATGGACACCACCAGACATAGTACATAATGCAAACTGTGTATGGAACAATATGTTGTATGATTATTCTATTGGGGGGGAATGTCACAGTCACATTTAGCTACCTTATTGTTTCATATTCACTGTGATTTATGATACCTCTACAACAGTACCACTGCAATGATCTTATAGATATAATTCCTATGAATGAAATCTCCCTAGGAACTCTTCACCTTATAATTCAGATCTGTTTTAGAAATGACACACTCTTATACTATTGTTCCATTATTTCCCCCTTTAACCAATGCACTCTCTAAAGATTCAGTTTGAGTGGAATAATAGTGTGTTTTAATTGATGGCAGATTAATCCTAACTTTCCCCTGCTGCTCTCTATATTGTTAATTCTGCTACATGAAAGAAAAATAACAACTATTGTTTGTTTGAAAAATTATAAGGGAAAAAGCATGAGAAGCTACATGTCATATTTAGTTTTGGCCTTGATGCACACTTGATGCAATTACAGAATATTTCTTTGAAGAACTGATTGAACACTAGCAAAACTTCAGTCAATTTAGATGAAAGAGAAAGACTTCATCATACTTTTATTATTGTAATGTATTTATGTACATTTGCCATATTATTATATCAGTTATTGCTGAAACAAGAGCCCTGCCATTCTGTAATCCAGTTCACCCACACTCCATAGTCTTCCTTGCTTAGAGCCATTTAATTCTACATTTGATAGAACACCACATGGTGAACAATATTAATATTTGAAAGGATATGTGCTAAAGGTTCATAGCTTCCCTCACACATGCATGCTGTATTCATCCTCATGTTCTGCAGCATGCTTACAACAGCATCATAGCCATGAAAGCATTTTAATTGATCACATATGATTTCTCCAGGCATATTTGCTGCCGTTTCCAAAGAAATGAGTTGAGCTGAGGCCTGATCTACATTTATTTCCACCTTTTCTTTTTTCATCATTAATGGTGTCAGTTGTCTTCTCTAAAAGCTAGACTACAGAAGAAGGAATTTAAGCAAATCCCACTGTAACCTCAAATTCCAATGAAATTTCAGATACACAACTTGATAACAAAGGGATCAAGAAGATGAAAGTTGCACAATTGAAAACATAATCTAAATCCTTTCCTGTAAAGCTTTCAACTGGAGTATAGGAATGACTTGGACTGGGTGCTGGACTTCTCTTGAATTGGAAGAATAAATTGAGACCATCAGTATGTGTTAGGTGGGTTTTTTACAAATCTGATTGGCTGTTCTTCCTGGTTTTAGGAGCTCTATAATTTGTCTCTGCATCTAAATTCAATATGTCAACCCAAGTATTACAGAAGCCCCAAAGGAAAATAGAACTAAAATAGAATTCATTACCAAATTGCTTCTCACTAAAGTGTACAGTTGCTAGATGAAAACATTTCTCTAGAAAATAGATTAAGGAATAGAGAAGAGGAAAAGCTGGAGCACAGAGTATCAAGATTAGTTTAGCTGATTAGTTGCACATATCTGTATTTCTTACTATTATTTTCTCAATAAATGCACTTTTACATGTAATTATTATGTTCACCTTATTATTACTGTAAATATTTTCACCTTAGAAAAATAATAAATGGAAATAACCATAGTAGGTTTCACCAAATTTGCTAATTTCAAGTTTGAAACCATGAATTGAGAGGGAGGGAATTGCAAATTCTTCATATCTCATCTAGAGAGTACAGAGTTTAGTTTCTTCAACCTTCTCTCAGAGTCATCCTAGAAATGTATAAGAAACTAGGAGAAGCTATAATTCATCCAGTGGTGGGATTCAGCCAGTTCGCACCACTTCGGCAGAACCAATAGCTAATTTTTTGTTGCCCGGGCCCAGAATGGACTTCCAGAAGTGGCATCCACACAGAGAAACGGTTGTTCACGTATTTGAATCCCACCACTGAATTCATCCTAGATAAAATATGTACTAAAACTGTTAATAAGTAATTAATAAGTCTAACTGTGTGCCACATTGCTTTATAAGAAGTGCAACAGGACAAGATGACAATGCGTATCTTAATAGCAAGTGAGTCAATTCTCTATATCCTTTAATTATCAAAATAAATTTATGAAATGTTACAGAACTTCTGAATGAGAGTTAAAATACAGTCACTGAGGTGTTACATATTGGAGTCCCATTCCTCTCTGATGTACAAATTCTTCTTTCTCTAATTCCTTCACTGAAAAGCAGACTTTCCTAATCCCGTTAACTCTACTCTGCAGCAAGGTATAAAGGTATGTCCTTATACATGTACATGTATACATATATATTTTTATTTATTTATTTAGCCACATAATTAGCAGAATAATTCTAGACAACTGACAGAGATAAAAAGGTTCAGGCTCTTTATGAGCTGGTTAAGAACCAATATATTGCCAGGCCTTGGTAACTGAAATAAGATGCCCACAATATGTTCTATCCAAATTGAGATGGCTTAGATGTCCTTAGAACCTATATTTATATTTATAAATTACTTATATAAATTTATATAAGTAATCCAATAAAATTACAAGAAACTCTAATGGATAGCATGCTTAGAGGGGAAGAAAAACAACATTACAAATACACACAAATATAAATCAATGTATTACAGTAGACAAAAATGTAGATGGTATTTTGAAACATTTTGTTCTGTTAGATTGACCTACATTTTGTTGACACAAGTATCATGTTAATATACAGTCTTCTTGCCATTTAAAATAATGGTGTGATACTAATTGCTACATTGCATAATATTAAAGCATAGATTAACCTCATGATCTGCAGATGTGTTCATCTACAACTCCCATGGTTACCAATCAAGATAGCCAATTAATTCCTTACTAAGGAATGTGATAGCTCACAAGGTTGGAACATTGGGCTGACAATTGGCAGCCCTGTGTTCGAGACCCATGAGCTCCCATCTCATGCTCCAACTCTACAAGTAGATAAATGGGTACCACTTTGGTGGGCAACTTCACAGGGATGCAAAAGGAGCCGCCACCTGGGCGTGCCCCGGGCAATGGGGATGTCCCCAGCAAATCCTTTCACCATGCAAGCACTTTGGTGCTTCTGACACAGAGGTATTAGTAACTTATGGTGAGTTCTGAATGTGGTAGTTCCCCATTTTGAAGTGTAGATGGTTGGGAAGGGTTTTTCTAGAATCTGTTTACCATAAAAAAAAATTCAAAAACTTCCACCAATGAATATTTGACCTCTAATTTAAATCTTTTTATTTAGCCTGCTTTCTAATTTTCCATTTAACAGATGGGAACCATCTAAAACAGGGGTGGTCAACCTTGGCTCTTTTATGACTTGTGGACTTGTGGACTTCAACTCCCAGAATTCCTGAGCCAGAATTCTGGGAGTTGAAATCCACGAGTCATAAAAGAGCCAAGGTTGACTACCCCTGATCTAAAAGAACCCTCCTTTTCACTAACCTACTGGAGTTAGAGGACACTAGGATGGCTAGCAGAAGCATAAGTCATGCATAGCACTTTTAAAAAAAACCCTGAAATCCTCACAAACCTGGGGCATGTTTTCTCATGGCAGGCAAACATTTAAGGGAGTTTATGGGTAGTTTAAGGCTTTGTGAAATCTCACCTCTACACAATTTGGATTAATGCAATATAATCTAACCCATATATTTCTACACTGAGCTGCCTTTAAGGATCATCCAAAACTTTAAACTAGTTTAGTATGCTATGGCTCATGGAGTAATGGGCACTCCAAGATTTGTCACGTAACACTTCCATTCCAAAAAGTGCTGGGAGCCACTCAGTTTCCAGGTGCAATTCAAGTGCTGTGATCACCTTTAAAATCTCATATGACTCAAGACCTGGTTATTTCTAAGACCATCTACCCAAAAGTAAATCTGGTAAGAGTCCTAATGTAAGTCCCCCCCCCCCCCAGGGAGGCCCATAGCAGTGCCTTCTTCATGGTGGTGCTTCTCTTTCGGAAAATCTTGTCCTCATATATACAAAATACCTCCTCCCTAATGAGTTTTTATAAAGAAGTAAAAATTTGGTACCAGTAGAGACTATTTGGGGGATGTTAGAATTTAGTATCTTGATCAACACTATTGTAATTTATATTTTATTACTACTGTTTTAAATCTTTAGGTTTTGCTGTGTACACTGCTCTGAGCACAGAATTTTTAAAAATAAATTTAAAAACCAATAATGGATCATATTGGAAACTGAAATTTCAGATCTGCATTCTCAGTCCCCAGTAAACAGTCAGTGCAGATTCAAGTAGATGTTTACTCTATTTGAGTTATAAGTTTACCTTGGTATTACTGAGCTACTGGAAGTAATTATTGGATGCAGATGAGAAGATGAACCCAAATAGGTCTACAAGATTCTGCAGGTGGCTAAATTTTTATTTATATAAAATGTATATAAAAGATAGCACATCTAATTATTTCTTCCTCCTCTCATTTTTAATGCATCTACTACTACATAATGTATTAGAGCTAGATTCAGATAGTCAAAGAAGAAAAAAAGAGAAAATGTGGTGAAACACATGGTGGAAAGGGAACAAAAAGAAAAGAAAAATATTTTTTTAAAAGAAAAAAAAAGAAAAAAGAATAAGTGTTCCTAAAGGAGAGGTTCTTACAAGTGGGGGTTCTTGTAGTAAAGGGAGTCTCCTTACTGTCATCTAAAAAGTCTTCTTCCTCATCCTCCTTTCTCAGCCTCCTCTTGGTCTCCTCATCATAAATAAGGCCCAGCAGATTGGCCGGACTCTCACTCTCACAATGGCAAAGTTCGTTGAGACGGACTCCAATTGCCTGCCAAAAGTATGAATTAACAAAGGGTCATAAAGGTTTCTTAAAGGAGAAATCTCAACTGTAATGTTGAAGTTTGCAAATAAAGTCCTCTTTTGCATCCATGTTGATTATATTATGTCATAAAAAAGATCTGGGAAAAATACCACAACAAAGTAGAGCTTTTATGTAATAATTTACAACATTCAAAGTACTTCAACATCTAGCAACTTGTTGTAATCCTTTCTTTTTATATATATAATAATTTTTATTCAAATTTACAGATCCAAACATAAAAAACTAATACTAATTAAGAAAGATATAAAAAGTAAAGAGAAAAATAAAAATGCATTGTTTTTATATATATATAAACAATTTCAGAAATTTATCACCTCTGATA